CCCTCCCTCCCCCCCCTCTCTATCCCACCCCTCTAGGTGGTCACAGAGCACCGAGCTGATCTCCCTGTGCTATGCAGCTGCTTCCCACTAGCTATCTGTTTTACATTTGGTAGTGTACATATGTCCATGCCAGTCTCTCACTTCATCTCAGCGTATCCTTCCCCCTGCTCGTATCCTCAAGTCCACTCTCTAGTAGGTCTGCGTCTTTATTCCTGTCCTGCCCCTAGGTTCATCAGAACCATTTTTTTTTTTAGATTCCATGTATATGCGTTAGCATACAGCATTTGTTTTTCTGACTTACTTCACTCTGTATGACAGACTCTAGGTCCATCCACCTCACTACAAATAACTCAATTTCGTTTCTTTTTATGGCTGAGTAATATTCCACGGTATGTATGTGCCACATCTTCTTTATCCTCTGTCCTTTATCCTCTATCCTTTATCTTATCCTCTTTATCCTTTATCCACTCATCTGTTGATGGACACTTAGGTTGCTTCCACGTCCTGGCTATTGTAAATAGAGCTGCAATGAACATTGTGGTACATGACTCTTTTTGAATTATGGTTTTCTCAGGGTATATGCCCAGTAGTGGGATTGCTGGGTCGTATGGTAGTTCTATTTTTAGTTTTTTAAGGAACATCCATACTGTTCTCCATAGTGGCTGTATCAATTTACATTCCCACCAACAATTTCCCCTTTTATGGCTGTTAGCATTTGCCTTATGTATTGAGGTGCTCCTATGTTGAGTGCATAAATATTTACAATTGTTACATCTTCTTCTTGGATTGATCCCTTGATCATTATGTAGTGTCCTTCTTTGTCTCTTGTAATAGCCTTTTTTTTAAAGTCTACTTTGTCTGATATAAGAATTGCTACTCCAGCTTTCTTTTGATTTTCATTTTTGCATGGAATATCTTTTTCCATCCCCTCACTTTCAGTCTGTATGTGTCCCTAGGTCTGAAGTGGGTCTCTTGTAGACAGCATATGTACAGCTCTTGTTTTTGTATCCATTCAGCCAGTCTACGTCTTTTGGTTGGAGCATTTAATCCATTTACATTTGAGGTAATTAATGATAGGTATGTTCCTATTACCATTTTCTTAATTGTTTTGGGTTTGTTATTGTAGGTCTTTTCCTTCTCTTGTGTTTCCTGCCTAGAGAAGTTCCTTTAGCATTTGTTGTAAAGCTGGTTTGGTGGTGCTGAATTCTCTTAACTTTTGCTTACCTGTATAAAGGTTTTAATTTCTCTATCAAATCTGAACTAGATCCTTGCTGGGTAGAGTAATCTTGGTTGTAGGTTTTTCCCTTTCATCACTTTAAATATGTCCTGCCACTCCCTTCTGGCTTGCAGAGTTTCTGCTGAAAGATCAGCTGTTAACCTTATGGGGATTCCCTTGTATGTTATTTGTTACTTTTCCTTTGCTGCTTTTAATATTTTTTTCTTTGTAGTTAATTTTTGATAGTTTGATTAATATATGTCTTGGCATATTTCTCCTTGGGTTTATCCTGTATGGGACTCTCTGTGCTTCCTGGACTTGATTGACTATTTCCTTTCCCATGTTAGGGAAGTTTTCAACTATAATCTCTTCAAATATTTTCTCAGACCCTTTCTTTTTCTCTTCTTCTTCTGGGACCCCTATAATTCGGATGTTGGTGCATTTGATGTTGCCCCAGAGGTCTCTGAGACTGTCCTCAATTCTTTTCATTCTTTTTTCTTTATTCTGCACCCTGGCAGTTATTTCCACCATTTTACCTTCCAGGTCACTTATCCGTTCTTCTGCCTCAGTTATTCTGCTATTGATTCCTTCTAGAGTATTTTTAATTTCAGTTTTTGTGTTTTTCATCACTGTTTGTTTGCTCTTTATTTATTTACTTATTTTTGCGGTACGCGGGCCTCTCTCACTGTTGTGACCTCTCCCGTTGCGGAGCACAGGCTCCGGACGCGCAGGCTCAGCGGCCATGGCTCACGGGCCCAGCCGCTCCGCGGCATGTGGGATCCTCCCGGACCGGGGCACGGACTCGTGTCCCCTGCATCGGCAGGCGGACTCTCAACCACTGCGCCACCAGGGAAGCCCTGTTTGCTCTTTAGTTCTTCTAGATCTTTGTTAAATGTTTCTTGTATTTTCTGCATTCTGTTTCTGAGATTTTGGATCATCTTTACTATCATTACTCTGAATTCTTTTTCAGGTAGGTTGCCTATTTCATCTTCATTTATTTGGTCTTGTAAGTTTTTACCTTGCTCCTTTGTGACATATTTTTTTGTCGTTTCATTTTTGTTTTTTTTGATGGGTGGTGCTGTATTCCAGTCTTACTGGTTGTTTGGCCTGAGAGGTCCAGCACTGGAGTTTGCAGGCAGTTGGATAGAGCCGGGTCTTGGTGCTGAGATGAGGACCTCCGGCAGGTCTCACTCTGATTAATATTCCCTGGGGTCTGAGGTTCTCTGTTAGTCCAGCAGTTTGGACTTGGAGCTCCCACCACAGGAGGTTGGGCCCAACCTCCAGCCTGGGAATCAAGATCCTGCAAGCTTCATGGTGCGGTTAAAAAAAAAAAAAAGAAAAGATAGAAAGAAAAAAGGAGCAGTACAATGTCAAAGAATAAAAAACAAAATAGAATTAGAAAGATAAAAAAATATATTAGGGGGGCTTCCCTGGTGGCGCAGTGGTTAAGAATCCACCTGCCAATGCAGGGGACGTGGGTTCGAGCCCTGGTCTGGGACGATCCCACATGCTGTGGAGCAACTAAGCCCGTAAGACACAACTACTGAGCCTGTGCTCTAGAGCCTGTGAGCCACAACTACTGAGACCATGTGCCACAACTACTGAGCCTGTTTTCTAGAGCCCACAAGGCACAACTACTGAAGCCCACGTGCCTAGAGCCCATGCTCTGCAACAAGAGAACCACCGCAATGAGAGGCCCGCACAGCACAATGAAGAGTAGCCCCCGCTTGCCACAACTAGAGAAAGCCCATGTGCAGCAACAAAGACCCAATGCAGCCAAAAATAAAAATAAATAAAATTTAAAAATATATATATTAGGAAAAATAAAGCTATAATTGAAGCTACCACAACAAGGTAAAATGAAGCCACAACAGAAAAAAGAAAAAAAATGGGGGGTGGGGAACAAGCCAAAAGGAGAGAACAATAATGAAGTATAAAGAATAAAATAAAATTAGAAAAATAAAAGTATTAGGAAAAATATAAAAGAATTAACAACAATGAATCAACACGGTAAAACCGAACTCCAATCGAAAAGAGGAAAAATGAAAAAGAAAACAAAGCCTTGGCTATGGGGGTGGAGTTTAGGTGGTGGGGTGGAACTTAGGCAGGGGCGGGGTTTAAGGTGGGGCGGGACCTAGGCGGCTGTGGGGGCGGTGCCGTTTGAGCGTGGGGTGGGGGCTAGGCGGGGCGATGTTCAAGCGTGGGGCAGGGCTTCTGCTTAGGACCTGCGCAGAAGGGGAGAGGCAGCTTGTGGAAGGGAGGGCGTCTGGAGGGCGGAGTTCCGGGGTTTGGAGGTAAGGCCCTGGGTGAGGGTGTGTGGGTGGGGTTTAGGCACAGCACTTTGGATGGGGTTTCGAAGTGTAGAGGTTGGGGGGGCCCTTGGCTCTGCGGGGCAGGAGGGAGGCTCCGAAGGCAGAGGATTAGGCCCGGGAGCCCAACAGGCTCCCTGGGGCCTAAGTGAACAGGGAAAGCGCTGGCCGCGTTCCCTCCCGTTCCTTCGTGTCCCCCCATCATCTCCCCATGTCTCCCCCCGTCTTCGCTGTCTTCGCTGCTGGACCCCTAACCGTGGGTGGGTCCCGCTGGGTGTAGGAACTCCTCCCCTCCCCCAGCCGCCCCCAGGGGTGCCGGGTCGGAGGTCAGGCCTTTACTTGTGCTCCCCCTTCCCTCCCTCCCACTCCCTCAGGACCCGCGCGGCTGGAGGGGGCCTCGGTGGGCAGAGCACCAGGCCCGGGATCTCAGCAGGTTACAGGCTGTGCACATAAAGATGGTTAAGATGGCAAATTTTATGTGTATTTCACCACTATTGAATTTTTTTTCCTCTTCAGACCAATTCAAGCTTTAAAGGTTATAAACATTATCTGCAATCGAAGATTCAGTAGGGAA